CCTTAGAGTTGGAAGGGGAGCAGCCCCTCAGCGTGGCCCCCAGCACCAACCGCATGGTCTACCGGGGCCTGGAGGTAAGGGGCCACATGGGAGCCCCATAACATATTATTTACTTCATATTATTTTGGTTATTATTTGCATGTATTATATCCATATATTATTTGGAGCATCATTATTATATTACTTAAATTATTATTTTCAGATATTTTAATTATTTTCACATTATATTATTTCAATTATTTTCACATATTATTTGGATTATTATTCTCACATATTATTTAGTTTATTATTGTCACATCATATTATTTCGATTATTATGATATTATTTTAATTATTCACATTTTAATTATTTTCACATTATATTATTTCAATTATTATTTGGATTTTGCATATTATTTAGTGTTATTATTTTCACACCATATTATTTTGATTATAATCTTTTCATATTATTTATTTTATTATTTTCACGTCACTTTATTTGGATTATTATTTTCACATATCTTTCAATTTTTGCATATTCTTTAATTTATCATTTTCACATCATATTTTTGGATTATTATGATACTATTTTAATTATTATTTTCATGTATTTTAATTATTTTCACATTAGATTATTTTAATTATTATTTGGATTATTATTTTTGCATATTATTTAGTGTATTATTTTCACATCATATTATTTGGATTATTATTTTCACATAGCTTTCAATTATTATTTTTGCATATTGTTTAATTTATTATTTTCCCATCATATTATATAGTTTATTATTTTCTCATATTATTTAGTTTATCATTATTTTTGGATTATTATTTTAATGTATTATTTTGATTATTATTTTGACATTATTTCTACTCTTATTTTGTTATTTTTATTTCATATTATTTTGGCTATTATTTGCACATATTATATTCATATCATAGTATTTCAATTATTATTATATTATTATAATTATTATTTTCACATTATATTTTCACATATTTCAATTATGTTTACATTTTATTATTTTCACATATTATTTGGATTACTATTTTTGCATATTATTTGGTTTATTATTTTCACGTCATATTATTTCTAATATGATTTTCAGATATTATTTGGATTATTATTTTCACGTTATAGTGTGTCCTTTTCTGCTTTCAAAGCCGAGGTTTGAAATATGGAAAGATATGTGTGTGTGTGTGTGTGTGTGTGGTGTGTGTGTGGTGTGTGTGTATGATACTAATTTACAGTTATGCCTTTCGGGCTGCTAAACGTGCCATTTCTCTCCGCTGCTTTAGGGCTTCGTGGCGGCCGTGTCTCCCTTCAACTTCACTGCTATTGGGGGGAACCTGGCAGGGGCCCCCGCTTTGATGGTACGCAGCCCATTCATTCCCCCCAAAAAGCCTCTTCCCAGGGGGCCGTTAGCCCACCGCTGGGGCAGAAAAACCCCAGGAGACATTAGGAAAGTTTCTGCAAAGTTCAGAGGATTTGGCACAAATGCATTTCTAATGGTCCCAGAACTCAATGCCTTGATGTAGAATCACAGCTGTGAATGATCCCCAATTTTTTTTCGTGTTTGAGAAACTGCAAGTCGCTTCTGGTGTGAGAGAATTGGCCGTCTGCAAGGACGTTGCCCAGGGGACATCCGGATGATTTGATGTTTTACCATCCTTGTGGGAGGCTTCTCTCATGTCCCTGCATGAGGAGCTGGAGCTGATAGAGGGAGCTCATCCGCCTCTCCCCGAATTCGATCCTGCGACCTGTCGGACTTCAGTCCTGCCGGCACAGGGCTTTAACCCACTGCGTCACTGGGGGCTCCATGATCCCCAATATCCCCATGGGATATGATGATAATAATAAAAGTAACAATAATACTACTGCTAAATATAATACCAAATATAATAATAATAAATATAACAATTATAATATTTAATATTATAATACAGTAATGTAGTAATGTACTATAATAATACAGTAATGATAATACTAAATATAATAATAATACTAAATATAACATATACTAAATATAATAATAAATATAAAAATACAGTATTGATAATACTAAATATAATAACAATAACACTAAATATAAGAAATATCCAAAAAATATAATAATATTAAATATAATAATAAATATAAAAATACAGTTTTGATAATACTAAATATAATAACAATAATACTAAATATAAGAAATATACTACAATAATAATAAATATAACAATATTAAATATAATAATAAATATAAAAATACAGTATTGATAATACTTAATATAATAACAATAATACTAAACATAATAAATATACTAAATATAATAATAATAAACAATAATATTAAATAAATAATAACAAATATAAATAATAGTATTGATAATACTAAATATAATAATACTAAATATAACAAAATACTAAATATAATAATAATATAATATAATAAAAATAAATAATATATATTATAATACTAAATATAATAACAATAAATAAATATAAAATACTAAAATAATAATAATAAATATAACATATATTAAATATAATAATAAATATAAAATAACAATAATGATAATATAAATATAATAATACTAAATAAAAATATAATAATATAAATAATAATAATACAATAAATATAATAATAATAAATATAATAATTAATAATAAATATAATAATAAAAATATACAATATATAAATATACTAATAATATTAAAATAAATAATAAATAAATAATATATTATGATAATACTAAATATAATAACAATAACATAAATATAAGAAATATACTAAAATAATAATAATAAATATAACAATAATATTAAATATAATAATAAATATAAAAATACAGTATTTGATAATACTAAATATAATAATACTAAAATAATAAACAAAAATATAATAATAAAATTTAAAAAATAATAATAAATATAATATATATATAATATAAATAAAATAATACTAATATAAAAATATAAATATATAATAATATTAAATATAATAATAAATATAAAATATTTTATAATACTAAATATAATAACAATAACACTAAATATAAGAAATATACTAAAAAATAATAATAAATATAACAATAATATTAAATATAATAATAAATATAAAAATACAGATAAATAAATAAATAATATAAAATAATAAATATATAAATATAATAATAAAACATATAATAATAATAATAAAATAATAAATATAAAATAATAAATGTAATAATAATATATAATAAAATATATAAATATAATAAAAATAAAAATAATAAATATAAAAAATACAAATTAATATAAATATAATAACAATACTAAATATAAAAACAATTAATAATATTAAAATATAATAAAATATAACAGTAATACTAAATATAATATAAATATAATAATAAATAAATATAAATAAAAATATAATAATAATAATAATATAATAATATAATAACAATAAATAAAATAAATAATATAATATAATAATACTAAATATAATAATAATAAATATAATAATACTAAATATAATAATAAATATCATAAATATAGTAATTATATTAAACCAAAATTAATATAATAAAACATTAATTCTATTTAATATTTATTATATTTTGTATTAATATAGTATTATTATATTTATTTTACTTAGTATAATACTTATATTTAGTATTATATTTAGTATTATATTTAGAATAATAATATTATGTACGATAATGGTGATATACAAGTGGTCACTATATGACATGGAATATCATCATCATCATATTCTCCCCTTTTTTCAGGGGAACGTGGTGTTGTGGAAGCCCAGCGACACGGCGATCCTGTCGAGTGCAGCCGTGTACCGAGTACTGCTGGAGGCGGGACTTCCTCCCGACGTGATCCAGTTCGTCCCGTCCGATGGCCCCGTCTTTGGCGACACTGTCACGGCCTCAGAGCACCTCTGCGGCATCAACTTCACCGGAAGCGTCCCGTGAGTGACTTCTCCTTTTTCCTCCTTTCTTCTTCTTTCTTCTCCTCCTTCCCCCTTATCCTTTTCCGTTCTTCTTTCTCCTCCTCCTCCTTTCTTCCTCTTCTTTTTCCTCTTCTTCCTCCTTTCTTCTTCTTTCTTCTCTTCTTTCTCCTCCTTTCTCTTTTTTACCTTCCTACTCTTCTTATTATTTACTCTGCTTTCTAAATAATTATTAACTATTATTTTTTCTTTCTTCCTTCTTTTCTTTCTCTTCTATTTCTTTTCTTCCTTTTTTTTCCTCTTCCTTTCTTCTTTCTTTTCCTCATCCTTTCTCTTCCTTCCCTCTTTTCTTTCTTCTCTTCATCCTTCTTACTCTTCTTTTTTTTTTATCTTATTCCTTCTTCTCCTTCTCTTCCTTTTCTGCTTCCTCTTCTTCTTTTCCTCCTTTTCTTTCTCTCCTCTTCTCTTTCTCTTCTCTCTTCTTCCTTCCTTTTCTCTTTTGTACCTTCCGACTCTTCTTCTTTCTTCCTTCTCATCCTTCTCATTCTTCTTTCTTTCTTTTCTTCTTTGTTCTTCTTCTCTCCTTCTTCCTTTCTTCCTCTTCTTTTTCTTCTTTCTTTCTTCCTCCTTTCTTCTTCTTTTTTCTCTTCTTTCTCCTCTCCTCCTTTCTCTTTTTTACCTTCCTACTCTTCTTCTTCTGCTTCTCATCCTTCTTACTCTTCCTTTTTTCTTCTTCTTTCTTCTCCTTCTATTCCTTTCTTCCTCTTCTTCTTTCTTCCTCCTTTTTCTTTTCTTCCTTCTTCTTCTTTCATCTTCTCTTCTTCCTCTTCCTTTTTTCTCTTTTTTACCTTCCTATTCTTCTTCTTTCTTCTGCTTCTCGTCCTTCTTTTCTTTTCTTTCTTTCTTCCTCTTCCTTTGTTCTTCTTCTTTCTTCTTCTATTCCTTTCTTCCTCTACTTCCTTTTCCTGCTCCTTTTTTCTTCTTCTTCCTTTTCTTCTTCCCCTCCTCCCTCCTCCTCCTCTTCTTTTTCCTCTTCTTCCTCCTTTCTTCTTCTTTCTTCTCTTCTTTCTCCTCCTTTCTCTTTTTTACCTTCCTACTCTTCTTCTTCTTTCTTCTGCTTCTCATCCTTCTTACTCTTCTTTTTTTTCTTTCTTCCTCTTACTTTGTTCTTCTTCTTTCTTCTCCTTCTATTCCTTTCTTGCTCTTCTTCCTTTTCCTGCTCCTTTCTTCTTCTTCCTCCTCTTCTTCCCTTACTTCCTCCTCCTCCACCTTCTAATTCCTTTCTTCCTCTTCGTTTTCCTCTTCCTTCTTTCTTCCTCCTTTCTTCTTCTTTCTTCTCTTCTTTCTCCTCCTTCTTTCTCTTTTTTACCTTCCTATTCTTTTCCTTCTTTCTTCTGCTTCTCCTCCTTCTTACTCTTTTTTCTTTCTTCCTTTCCTTTGTTTTTTTCTTTCTTCCTCTTTTCCTCTTCTCTCCTCCTACTTCTTTTCTTATTCTTTCTTTCTCATCCTCCTTTTTTTCCTATTCCCTTCTTCTATTTCTTTTCTTCTTCTCCTCCGCCTTCTCCTCTTTCTTCTTTTCTCTTTTTTTCTTCCTCTTCTTCTTCTCTTCCTTCCTCTTTTTTTCCCCCTCCTCCTCTTTTCTTCCTTTCCTCTTCCTCCTCTTCTCGATTTCGGAGTGTGACCAACCCTCTCGAAACAATCAAAATGCTAATGCGGTGCCGTGCGCTCCTTGATGGGCTCCCCGCCTGCCTTTGGCGCACCGGAGCGGAAAGAAAGGCCCAACTCGGCGCATTTTTAATCACCCGGCTTCTTGGGAAACGGAGGCGAAGAAGAGAAGGAGGAAGAAGAAGAAGAAGAGGGAGAAGCGCCGTTGCCATCGCACGCTTAATGCGCAGCAGCAGCCCCGCTGAGACGCCGACTTTCTCGCTGACGCAGCCAAACACGTTCCTACTTTTTCGGGCCATTATGCTTTTTCGGGCAAATTCTCTCCTCCATAAGTCAGAAAAGAAGGCACATTTTGGAAAATATTATTACAATAAATATAACATTATATTGTTAGATTCTTATATTTTATAATATTTTTATTACATTTTATATTTATTATTTTATTACATTTTATTACTATTTTATTATGAATATAATAAAGACAATATTATATGTTATTATATATTATCTTTATTATTTCATTATATTTTATTATTATACTATTATAAATATAATATATAATAACATATATTAGCTTTATTATATTCATAATAATAATATAATACTAATAAAATGAAATAAAATATTGTAATAATATATAATAAAATATAATAATAAAATAATATAGTATGTTCATATATTATAAATATTATAATTATACTGTTATAATTACTAATAATATTTTATATTTATATATTTATTACGATATTTTATATACTATTTAATTATTAGGATTTTATTAATATTATGATATACTAATAATTATATTATTTGGTTATAATTTTATTATATTTCATCTATTTATTCCCTTATTGTGTTATATTTATTATAATATAATTTATATTTTTTATTTGTTAATTATTATTATTTATATTATGAATATAATAAACACATTTGATTATTATATTTTATATTTATTATTATTGTTATAATTTATTATATTATTATATATATATTATTATTTATTATATATTATTATATTTATATTATTTTATTTTTTTAATATTATATATTATATATATTATTAATATTATTATATTTATTATTATATTTATATTTATTATTTTAATTTATTATTTTATTATATATTATTATAATATTATTTATATTACATTTTATATTATATTTATTTATTATTTATATTTATTATTTTATTAGTATTATATATTATAAACATAATAAATATATTACTTTATTATTAGATTGTTATATTTGATTATTATATTGTCTATATAAATGATTATATTTTATTATATTATTATTATATAAATATATTATATATTTATGACTATATTTTATATTTATTATTTTATTATTATATTTTATATATATTATAATACTATTTTAATAGAATAAATACAATTTATTGCATGGTTTTGGAATAATAGTAATATTATTTATCTTATTTGATTATTTGATTATTATGTTGTATGTGTATATTATTTTATTATATTACTATTTCTATATTTATTATTTTGTTATATTTTATTAGTATTGTTATATACATAATAAATATATTATTTGATTATAATATTGTATGTATATATTATTTAATTATATTTTATTATATTACTATTTTTATATTTATTCTTTTGTTACATTTTATTAATATTATTATAAACATAATAAATATATTATTTGATTGTATGTATATATTTTATATATTATATTATAGGATGATTATAATAAATATAATTAATATAGTATATTATTTTATTATATTACTATTTTTATATTTATTCTTTTGTTACATTTTATTAGTATTATTATAAACATAATAAATATATTATTTGATTGTATGTATATATTTTATATATTATATTATAGGATGATTATAATAAATATAATTAATATAGTATATTATTATATTACTATTTTTATATTTATTCTTTTGTTATATTTTATTAGTATTATTATAAACATAATAAATATATTATTTGATGATTGTATGTATATATTATTATATTATATTATATGATGATTATAATAAATATAATTAATATAGTATATTATTTTATTATATTACTATATTTTATATTTATTTTGTTATATTTTATTATATTATTATAAACAATAAATATATTATTTGATTATTATATTGTATATTTTATTATATTTTATTATATGATTATTATGATAAATATAATTAATATATTATATTTTATTACATATTTATAATTATATTTTATATTTATTATATTATTATAACATTTTAGTATTATTATATTTTATATATCTTATAATTCTGTTATAATAAATAGAAGAAATATAATTGATAATAGTAATACTATTGATAATAATACTATTGATAATAGTAATATTATTTATCTTGCGTAAGTCCCCCAACGTGCCCAATGTTTTGGGGTCCATTGCAGATGGGCTTTTTGGACCTTCTTCCTTCTCTCTGCAGGACCTTCAAGCGCCTTTGGAAGCAGGTGTCCGAAAACCTTGACCGGTACCGGACCTTTCCCCGCCTGGCCGGAGGTGAGCCCGAGTCAGAGGGATCTAGAGGGGGTTGGACTAGATGGCCTTTGGGGACCCCCGGAAGATTTCCTTCCTTTCTCCTTTCCTTCCTCTCTGTGTGTCCTTCTCCATTAGAGTGCGGCGGGAAGAACTTCCACTTTGTGCACGCGTCGGCGGACGTGTCCAGCGTGGTCAGCGGGACGCTGCGCTCGGCCTTTGAGTTCGGGGGGCAGAAGTGCTCGGCCTGCTCCCGCCTCTACGCCCCGGAGTCCCTCTGGCCGCGCATCAAGGACGGACTCCTCGAGGAGCACCCCAAGATCCGCGTCGGAGACGTGAGTGCGCCTCCAAAGAAATTCATTAATATTCTATATTATTATTATTATTATTATTATTATTATTATTATTATTATTTAGTATCATAATATTATCTATTTTTATTGTTATATATTTAATAATATTATTATTATGTGTTATTATTCTGTAATTATTCTATATTATTATTCTATATTATTACTGTTATTATATAGTATTATAATGTTATTATCGATTATTATTGTTATATATTTAATAATATGTTATTCTGAAATTATTCTATATTATTATTATATATTATATAGTATTATAATGTTATTATCGATTATTATTGTTATATATTTAATAATATGTTATTCTGAAATTATTCTATATTATTATTATATATTATTATATAGTATTATATTACCTATTATTATTGTTATATATTTTATACTATTATTATGTGTTATTATTCTGTAATTATTCTATATTATTATTCTATATTGTTATTGTTTATTATATAGATTATAATTTATTATTATTATTTATATATTTTATTATTATTATTATGTGTTATTATTCTGTAATTATTCTATGTTATTATTGTTATTATATAGTATTATATTATTATTTATTATTATTGTTATATATTTAATATTACTATTATGTGTTATTATTCTGTAATTATTCTATATTATATGTATTACTATATATATTATTTATTATATATATTATTATATTATATTATGTATATTATTATATATATTATTATATTATAGTATTATAATATTATCTATTATTAATGTTATATAGTTAATATTACAATATGTTATTCTATATTATTATTCTATATTTATTGTTATTATATAGTATTATATTATCTATTATTATTGTTATATATTTAATAATAATATTATTATGTGTTATTATTCCGTAACTATTCTATATTATTGTTTTATATTATTATTGTTATTATATAGTATTATAATATTATTATCTATTATTATTGTTATATACTTAATATTATTATGTGTTATTATTCTAGATTATTATTCTAGATTATTATTATTTTATATATAGTACAATATTATTTTGTATTATTGTTATATATTTTATATTATTATTATATGTTATTATTCGGTAATTATTGCATATTATTATAGATTATTATTATATATAGCAGCTATTATTGTTATACATTTTGTATTATTATTTGGTTATTATTCTATATTATTATTATTATAATATATAATAATATTATCTATTGTTGCTATATATTTATATTTATATATTTATATTATTACATGTTATTTTTCTGTAATTTTTGCATTTTATTCTATATTATTATTCTATATTATTATTATTATGCATAGTATTATAATATTATCCATTATTGTTGCTATATATATTATATTATTATTGTATGTTATTATTCTGTAATTATTGCATGTTATTCTATATTATTCTATATTATTATTATTATATATAGTATAATATTATCTATTATTGTTATATATTCTATATTATTTGTTATTATTCAGTTATTATTCTATATTATTATAATATTATATAGTATTATAATATTATCTATTATTATTGTTATATATTTTATATTATTGTATGTTATTCGGCAATTATTGCATATTATTCTTTATTATTATTATATAGTATTATAATATCTATTATTATTATATATTTATTATTATGTAATTATTACATGTTATTTTATATTATTATTTTATATTTTTAGTCTATATTATTATTATATATAGTATTATAATATTAGATATTATTATTGTTATATTCTATGCTACTTTTATAGGTTATTATTCTGTAATTTTTACATATTACATATTATTCTATATGTTATTATTATATATTATTATACATTATTAGTATTATGTTATTATATATTATTTAATTATTTTATATATTATTATATTATAATATATTGTATTATTATTATTATTATTTTGTTTTTCAATTGTTATCCTTATATATTTATCTGGTCGCCAATTTGTGTGTAGGGGGTCCCTTCGTGGTCGCCAATTTGTGTGTAGGGGGTCCCTTCGTGGTCGCCAATTTGTGTGGTCGCCCCAAACTCTTCTAATGCTTCTCTCTTTCTTTCTTCTCTTCTTTCTTTCCAGCCAACAGAAGACTTTGGTACCTTCTTCTCGGCTGTCATTGACCACAAGGTAATAATGAGCCTCATTCATTCTCCGCCAGATCTTGTTCTCCTTTCTCCTCCTACATCCATCTTTCCCTCTTTCCCTCCTTCTCTTTCTCTTCTTCTTCCTTCTCTTCCATCCATCTGTCACTTGTCCATATCCTCTTTATCCTCCTCTTTTCTTCTTTACCTCCTTCTTTTCCTCCTCATCTCTTTCCTTCATTTTCCTCCTCTTCTTCTTCTCCTTCTTTCCTTCCTTCCTTCTCCTCCTCCTCCCTTCTTTCCCCTTTCCTCTTCTCTCTTCCTTTTCTCTTCTCCTTCCTTCTCTTTCCTCTTTCTCCTCTTTCTTTTCTTCCTTCCTTCTCCTCTTTCCTTCCTTTTCTACCTCTTTCCTTCCTTCCCTTTTTGCTTCCATCCTTCTTTCTCTTTTTCCTTCTCTCCTTCTTTCCCTCCTTCTCTTCCTCTTTTCCCTCCTCTTCTCTTCATCTTCTCCTCCTTCTTCCTCCTCCTCCTCCATCTCTCCCTCTTTTCCCTCTTTCTCATCCTCTTTGTCCACTTCTTCTTCCTGCTCTTTTGTCTCTTACTCTTTTCTCCCTTCTCATTCTTTTCCTCTTCTTCTCCTTTCTCCTTCTCCTCCTCTTCCCCCTCCTCCCCCTCTTCCTCTGTCCCTCGTTTCCCTTTTTCTCTTCCTCCTCCTCCATTCCTCCATCTCCTTCTTTTCTTTCTTCCTCTTCCATACCTCCATCTTTCCCGCCCTTTTCCTCTCTTCTTCCTTTCATTCTCTTCCTCTTCTCCTTCCACCTCCTCTTCTTCCTTCGTCTCTCCCTCTTTTCCCTCTTCTCCTTTTTCTTTCCCCCTCCCTTCTCTTATTCCTCCTCCTTCTTCCTCTTCCATCCCTCCATCTTTCTCTCCTCCTCTTTCTCCTCTTTCACTTCTTCCTCTCATTCTTCTTTTTCCTCTTCTCCTTTTTCTTCCTCCTCTTTCTCTTCTACCTCTTTTTTCCTCTCATTCTTCTTCTTCCTCTTCTCCTTTTTCTTCCCCCTCCATCCTTCTATATTTCCCTTCTCCTCCTTCTTTTCCTTCTTCCTCTTCCATCCCTCCATCTTTCCCTCCTCCTCTTTCTCTTCTATCTCTTTCCTCGCCTTCTTCTTTTCCTCTTCTCCTTTACTTCCTCCTCCATCCTTCCATATTTCCCTCCTCCTCTTTTCCTTCTTCCTCTTCCATCCCTCCATCTTTCCCTCCTCCTCTTTCTCTTCTTCCTCTTCTTCCTCTCATTCTTCTTTTTCCTCTTCTCCTTTTTCTTCCCTCTCCATCCTTCCATATTTTGCTCCTCCTCCTTTTCCTCCTTCCATCTCTCCATCTTTCCCTCCTCCTCTTTCTCTTCTTCCTCTTCTCCTTTTTCTTCCTTTTCCATCTTTCTATATTTCCCTCCTCTTCTTTCTTTTCCTCCTTCCATCTCTCCATCTTTCCCTCCTCCTCTTTCTCTTCTTCCTCTTCTTCCTCTCATTCTTCTTTTTCCTCTTCTCCTTTTTCTTCCTCCTCCATCCATTTATATTTCCCTCCTCGTCCTTCTTTTCCTTCTTACTCCTTCCCTCTCTCCCCATTTTCCCTCCTTCTCTTCTTCCTACTCCTTCTCGTCCCTGCCTGTGCTACTCCTCCCCCTTTCCCTTTTTCTTCTCCTCCTCCTTCTCGTCCTTCTTCTCCTCCTCCTTCGTGAAAGGCTCCCTGCTGTGTGGATGGAGGTATGGCTCATCCCGCGTGCGCAATCTCCCTTCTTCTTCTTCTTCTTCTTCTTCTTCTTCTTCTTCTTAAGCCTCCTCGGCGCCTGCCGATCCCGATAACGTGGCTCTTCTTCCCTCCGACACCGCTTTGAAGTCTGGCTTAATCCCGGTCTCACTTCGGGACGAACGCTAAGGACGTTTGGGACGCTTCCCGTCCGGAGTGGGCTTGTCCCCGCCTCGAATTGAGTCGCTCTCCTCCTTCTCTGTCCGCCCGGCAGGCTTTCGAGCGCATCCGGAAGTGGCTGGACCACGCCAAGACCTCGCCAAACATCTCCGTCCTGGCCGGCGGACAGTGCGACGACTCTGTGGGATTCTTCGTCCAGCCCTGCGTCCTGCAGACCAAGGACCCCCTGGACCCCATCATGCAGGAGGCGAGTCCTCCTTCTCTTCACCTTCTTCTCCTTCTTTCTCCTCTTCCATCTCTTCCATTATCATTTTGGGGGTACCCCTAAAGGTCATCTAGACTGACCTCCAGTGTAAACAATGTAAAGAAACTAAAGGAAGGAGAATCTATTGACCTCCAAGGCAGCCCATAATCCAATAGAGATGGAGGAGGGACCCCCCAAAGGTCATCTAGACCAACCTTCATTCCCCAATATCTACTATACAGGAGGGACCCCAAAAGGTCATCTAGACTGATCTTCATAATTAATGGACTAAAGCGCTCTTGGAAGATGGCCATTGACCTCCCAGGCAGCCCATAATGCACATGAAGGGGGCTCCCAAGGGTCATCTAGACTGATCTCGTTAGTCTATCTATAATGGAGGTCCGTCTAGATGACCCTTGGGGTTCCCTCTTCTGTCTCTAGTAGATTATCTAGTAGACCCCAAGGGTCATCTAGACCAATCTCCATTCCCCAATATCTACTATAGAGGAGAGACTACCAAAGGTCATCTAGACTGACCGACATTTATGAAATGGACTAAAGCGCTCCTGGAAGATGGCCATTGACCTCCCCGGCAGCCCGTAATGCACGTGAAGGGGGTTCCCAAGGGTCATCTAGACTGACCTCCAATGTAAACAAACTGAAGCACTCTTGGAAAAGATGGCACCTCCAAGGCAGCACATAATCCACTTTAGTAGACCTCAAAGGTCATCTAGACTGACCTCCATAATAAATGGACTAAAGCGTTCCTGGAAGATGGCCATTGACCTCCAATGAAGCCTGTAATCCACATGAAAGGGGCTCCCAAGGTTCATCTAGACTGACCTCCAATGTAAACAAACTAAAGCACTCCTAGAAAAGATGGCAATTTGAGATCTAGATATAGAAAAGAGAGTATATTGACCTCCAAGGCAGCACATAATCCAATTGAGGGGACCCCTAAGGGTCATCTAGACTGACCTTCATAATAAATGGACTAAAGTGCTCTTGGAAGATGGCCATTGACCTCCAAGGCAGCCCGTAATGCACTTGAAGGGGGCTACCAAGGGTAATCTAGACTGACCTCCAATGTAAACAAAGCAAAGCATTCCTGGAAGATGGCTACTGACCTCCAAGGCAGCCCGTAATGCACGTGAAGGGGGTTCCAGAGGGTCATCTAGACTGACCTCCCATTCCACCTCTTGAAAATACCTGTATTTGAAGCCTAGAGTTGCATTACAATCTCTTGTCCTCCTTCTCCCACGCAGGAAATCTTTGGCCCGGTGCTCTCGGTCTACGTCTACCCGGACAAGGAATACAAGGATGTCCTGCAGCTGGTGGACCGTACTTCCCCTTACGGCCTCACGGGGGCGGTGTTTGCCCAGGATAAGTGAGTGAATTGGGGAATCAGTGGAGATAGAAGGAGGGTGGGGGGAACCCCAAAGGTCATCTAGACTGACCCCCATTATAAATAGACTAAAGCACTCTTGGAAAAGATGGCCCTTGGAGATCGAGGTCAAGAATGGAAAGTATATTGACCTTCCAATAGGGATAGAAAGGGGACCCCCAAAGGTCATTTAGACCGATAATCCATTAGAAGGGGGACCCCCAAAGGTCATCTAGACTCACCCTCATTGTAAACAAACAGAAGATATCTTGTAAAATAGGTCAATTTGAGATTTAGGGAAGGAAAGGAGATTATATCGACCTTCCAAGCAGTACATAAGTCAATAGAGATGGAAAGGGGACCCCCAAAGGTCATCTAGACTGATAATCCATTAGAAGGGGGACCCCCAAAGGTCATCTAGACTGACCCTCATTGTAAAATATGTCAATTTGAGATTTAGGTAGACTATATCGACCTTCCAAGCAGTACTTAATCCAATAGAGGTGAAAAGGGGACCCCCAAAGGTCATCTAGACTGATAATCCATTAGAAGGGGGACCCCCAAAGGTCATCTAGACTGACCCGCATTGTAAACAAACAGAAGCAGTCTTGTAAAATAGGTCAATTTGAGATTTAGGGAAGGAAAGAAGAATATATTGACCTCCAAGGCAGTACATAATCCAATAGGGATTGAAAGGGGACCCCCAAAGGTCATCTAATCCATTAGAAGGGGGACCCCCAACGGTCATCTAGACAAACAAACAGAAGTTACCTTGTAAAATAGGTCAATTTGAGATTTAGGGAAGGAAAGGAGATTATATTGACCTTCCAAGCAGTACTTAATCCAATAGCGATGGAAAGGGGACCCCCAAAGATCATCTAGACTGATAATCCATTAGAAGGGGGACCCCCAGGGGTCATCTAGTCTAACCTCCATTAGAAGTGGATTTCTGGAAGATGGTCAATTTGAGGTCTATGTTAAGAAAGATTATATTGACCACCAAGGCCATACACAATCCACCAGGGATGGAAAGGGGACCCCCTAAAGGTCATCTAGACTGACCTCCATTCTAAAAGTGCTCGAAAGATGCCCATTCGAGATCTAGGTAAGGAAAAGGGAATATATTGACCTCCAAGACAGTACATAAGCCAATAGAGATGGAAAGGGGACCCCCAAAGGTCATCTAGACTGATAATCCATTAGAAGGGGGACCCCCAAAGGTCATCTAGACTGACCCTCATTGTAAACAAATGGAAGCAGGCTTGTAAAATAGGTCAGCTTGAGATTTAGGGAAGGAAAGGAGATTATATCGACCTTCCAAGCAGTACTTAATCCAATAGAGATGGAATGGGGACCCCCAAAGGTCATCTAGACTGATAATCCATTAGAAGGGGGACCCCCAGGTTGACCTCTGTTACAAATGGACTTCTGGAAGATGTCTATTGGGCCTCTGTGTAAAGAAAGGAGAGTCAACTGGCCTCCAAGGTCACCTATAATCCAATAGAGATGGAAGGGGGGTCTCCCAAAGTTCATCTAGACTGACCCTCATTGTAAACAAACGGAAGCAGTCGTGTAATATAGGTCAATTTGAGATCCAGGTAAGGAAAGGAGAATATATTGACCTCCAGGGCAGTAAATAATAAATAAATGACTCTATTTCGCAACGCTCACCTCTCATGAAAGCTAAAAGGCAACCTGGCCGCCCCGGCCACCAAGGCATATGGAGCAGTATAGATAACATTAGAAGAATATTATATACATAAGAGTAACATTATCAGGTAAATATGAATACTACTGGAAGAGCATAGAATGCCAATTTGGTAATATCCATGAGTAGATCCATCTACGTTCCCCCCCCCGCCACATCCATCCCAATTGCGACAGCATGACGCTTGCAACCTCCGTGGTTTAGTATGTCAGTCTGTTGTTGTCATGCCAGAACGTGAAGACCAGATAGATGTTGCAGGCGGCAGCAAATACAGCGTCAGGGATGAGCATCACGGATGTAGACGCCGCTCATACTGCACAGACGTCCGGGAGATTCTCCATACGGTTCTACATCGCGAAAGCTGATAGACAAGACGTGCCACTCTACAATGATGCGTAGAAGCCCCTGCATACACTCTCTTGGGCTTATC